CTCACAGCAACCTCCAACTCCTGGGCTCAAGCGAGTCTCCTGCCTCTGCCTCCCAAGTAGCTGGGACCACTGGCACCCGCCACAATGCCCATCTATTTTGGAATTTTCATACTGTTTTCCATATGACTATACTAATTGACATTTCTACCAGCAGTGTACAAGGGTTCTCTTTTCTCCGTACCCTGGCTTACATTTGTCATTTCTTGTCTTTTTGATAAAAGCTATCCTAACAGGTGTGAAATGGTGCTCTAAAGATTTTTTGTTTGTTTGTTTTTTTGAGATAGTCTCACTATGTTGCCCCCATTGAGTGCTGTGGCATCACAGCTCACAGCAACCTCCAACTTTTGGGCTTAAGTGATTCTCTTGCCTCAGCCTCCCAAGTACCTAGGACTATAGGCACCTGCCACAACACTTGGCTATTTTTTGTTGCAGTTGTCATTGTTGTTTAGTTGGCCCGGGCTGGGTTCGAACCCTCCAGCCTCAGTGTATGTGGCTGACACTGTAACCACTGTGCTATGGGCACCGAGCCAGTGCTTTAAAGTTTTCATCATTCCAATCTTGCACATTTTTTGTAAGGTTTATATCTAGTATATTTTATCATGGTAAAGAAATTGGTGGGGAAAATTTATGTCCTGGCTTTCCCCCCCTATTTATTTTAGAGGTAGAGTCTTGCTCTGTCACTCAGACAGTACAATCATAGCTCCCTGCAGCCTTAAACTTCTGGGCTCAAGTTACCCTCCCAAGTTGCTAGGACTACAGGTGTGCACATCTGCAGATGGGGTCTCAGGCTGGCCCCTCAAATGCTGTATCAGTCACCATGCCCAGCCTTTTTGCTTTTTTTTTTTCCCCACATTAGGATTTCTTAGAATGTGCCTTAGTACAGGCGCTGTACTTATGCATGGTGCTTTTGATATATAAAATTCCAACATTCTGCTGATTCTTGAGCAGTGACACCAAAAAGTTAACAGCTAGGTTGATAATCATATACCAGTTCATCATCTGTTATCGTCACTTGGCCAACGGCCACAACCAGACATAGAATCTTCTTCATCTGGAACTTGATTGTGGACTTCACCTCATTAACCTTGGCCACCATGTTTTTCTTGTGTTAGCCAGCAAGGAAGGAAACTTGGCCTGCCTTATTTAGGCATGGGATGCGTATTCTTGGGATCTGGTTGATAAGAGACTCTGAGTTCAAAAAGGCATCATACTTCTTGACCAGCTTCTTTCTTTTGTTGAGTTTCTTCATCACCTTGATGTGCATGTAGGGGATGTCCGTAGCCTTGGCCTTATCACTGTGCTGCTGAGTCCCCCAGGACCCACAAAAAGAACTTGGGGCAGGGGTTGGACTTAAGCCTGACAGTGCCAGAGGAGCATTTGTCCTACTGAGGGTCACAGTTCTTCAAGCAGATCTGCAGCTGTACCATTTCCAAAACCTTCCAGTGCTTGTGCTCATTTACATGTAAGACTTTACCACCTGCTACAGGGTGTCCTGAGAGATGGTTGCTTGTGGTTTTTTATGCTGCGATAACCAAAAAAGAGCCCTTTTTGCTTTTTTAAGTGTGCTCTTTTTTCCTTATGTCATTTTATAGGCATGTATATACATATATTTATGTAGGTTTTATATACATATGAAGATTTTGTTTTGTATAGACTTTTTTTCATGTGAAGGTTCTTTTTTTATTTTTTTGAGATAGTCTCATTCTCTTGCCCTAGAATATGACATCCTTTTCTTTTTTTTTTT